CTAAGGAAAACTACAATTATAACTATCTATTCTTTAGCTCCATCAAAGATCCCAGAAGGATATAATATTACCTAAGTAAACAGGAAGTACATTGTAAGCAACTTCCAAAATTCTAGAATTTACAGAGACTTCTTGCTGCCTGGACAGTCACCCAAAGTTCTTTCGTAACATTGGAGCATCCATCTTTGGCCTACAGGCCAATAGTATCTGGTAGACTTTTCCATGAAGCAGGAAATTTCAAAGACAGTTCCACCCATATTGGTAGTTTGCCAGTCACTTTCTTCTGTGTCCTGCAGAATGTCTAACAGACTCTTTTTGTTTTTTCATGAAGCAGGAACCCCAAGGGACCATCTCACCTTTATGAAAGCTTAGCAGTCATTTTTTTGTAAGTCCTTATGTTCAGTTCATGCAGCATAACATCAAGCAGTCCAGGCAAGAGCTGTTTCTTGCCCAAATGGCTAACCAACTCCATAAGGAGCCTCTTCAATGCCCATCTTCCTCTTAAAGTAGATTGGTGCTATCAGGAGCAAATGTGTCTCACTGTCATGAAAAGTCTAAGTTCTTAAAACATTTTAAATGCCATATTCTGGTAAGTCTTTGAAAGGTTTAAAGATTATCTATCTAACTGAAATATATCTCTAGAAAACCTAACTAACATGACTACAAGCTTGATTATTATAGATGACTATTAACCTGTATTTTTAAATTATACATTATATTTTTAAATGAGATGTACAAACACAATACCTTAATCAAGAGTATATATATATATATATAAAACAAAATTGATCTTAATTTTGTATCAATAAACCAAGATCCATACCAATGTAAAGTATCCATCTCTATAGCATATCCCCCTTTAAATGTAAGCAAACATTTGTAAACAACCATTTTAGAAAAGAAAAAGAGACTAGAGAATTATTAAAAAAAGTAAATGGTTTTTTTTTTGAAAAATAAAAGTCTTTAAAGAGACAGAGTACAGACAGTCATAGATAAATGAATAAAGAAAAGTAAGTCACATAAAGATACACAGAGAGTCTGGATTTTGCGTATTATTTGTTTTCTTTGAATTCTTTGACTGTGGGAGGAGCTAAGTACAGAGATATTTCATTGTATGGGCTGCTAAGCTAAAACAACATAGATTTTAAAGGTATCTTGACTTCAAAATTTGAATCTAAGGATTTGTTGCTTTAAAGAAGAGGTTCTTCTTTTGTTTCCACAGAGAATGAGAACTTGTGGATTCCTTCCAGACTAATATGGCTTGATGGACCAAGACCCCGAAAGGTCTCTGTGAACCACCCCCAAAAAGAAAATACTTCGCCCAATAAAAAGCAGGAGAACTATGCTCAAATTCCCTAAATGATTATTTATAAATGTTTGTTTACATTTAAAGGGGGATATAGAGATTTATATTGATATGAATCTTGGTTTATTGATAGAAATTTGAGGTCAGTTTTGTTGTATGTATATTTCTGCTCTTGATTAAGGTGTTGTATTTGTGCAGCTCATTTGAAAATGTAATGTATAGTTAAAAAATACAGGTTAATGGGTAGTTATCTCTACTTGGGCTTCTAGTCATGTTGTTTGGGTTTTCTAGATGTACAGAGATGTATTTCAGTTGGATGGATGGTCTTCAACACTTTCAGAGGCCAACAGAATATGGCATTTAAAATGTTTTAAGAACTTAGAACTTTTCATGACAATGAGACTCATCTGCTCCTGGTAGCACAAATCTACTTTAAAAGGATGATGGGCATCAAAGAGTTTTTTGAACCATTTTTTGGCCATTTGCCTGGACTGCTTGACTGATTTGCAGGACCCATAAAAAAATGACTACTGAAGCTACCTAAAAAAGGTGAGATGTCTTTTGGGGTTTCTGCTTCATAAAACAATCTGCCAGACATTCTGCAGGACACAGAAGAAAGCAACTGATGGACTTTGCCATTACCAGACAAAACAGATTTTCAAATTTACTGCTTAATGGAAAGCCTGCCAGATACTATGGGCCTGTAGGCTAAAGATTGGATGATCCAATGGTACAGAAGAACTTTGGGTGACTGTCCAGGCAGTGAGATGTCTCTGTAAATTCTAGAATTTTGGAAGTTGCTTACAATGCACTTCCTGTTTACTTAAACAATATTATATTCTTCTGGGGTCTTTGATGGAGTCAAAGAATAGATAGTTATAATTATAGTTTTTTTTAGTTATGATAAAAGATAAAGTAGATATAAATATTGTAACTGTAATTCTTGCTTGATACCTGTTTTGTTATATGTAATCTTGCTATGTTAAAGTTAAAACTTTCTTTTTTTTATTTAGACAGAAAAGGGGAGGTGATGTATACTGAGAATATGTTTTATTGCCATTGGTTAATAAAGAAGCTGCTTTCGGCCAATGGCTTAATAGAATAAAGTAAGGCTGAAAGAGATATATAGAGAAAGTAGGCAGAATCAGAGAAGAAGCCATGTAGACCTGCAGGAGATAGACACTGGACAGACCTTTACCAGGTAAGCCACAGCCACGTGGCAATACACAGATTAATAGAAATGGGTTAATTTAAGATTAAGTAAGAGCTAGCTAGAAATACGCTCAAGTTATTGGCCAAACAGTATTGCAAATAATATAGTTTCTGAGTGATTATTTCAGGACTGAGCAACTAGAAACAAATGAGCAGCCTCCGCCAACATTCCTCCTCAGAAATGAGCTTATCACTGGTGGCATTTACAGAATTCTGAAGCTAGCTGACATCACTCCCAAGCTTTCATCCCTTGCTTTATTTTCTTCCAATGTGCATTCTATGTTCTCTTATTCTACATAATTTACTTATTTCTTGCTTTTTACCTCCCTGATCCACTATACTGTAAGCTTCCAAAGAGGAGGGATGGCTGTCTGCTTTGACCACAAAACAGTCCACATCAGTGCTAGGGCATTGTAGATACTCAGATTTATTGAATAGGAGACTATTCATTCAGGGCATGGTGACGCACATTTTTCAATCCCAATGTTCAAAAGACTTAGTTAGGAGGTCAATCTTGGCAACATGTTAAGGCAACTCCCTCCCTCAAAAGAGATTGGTATTAGAAACCCTAACAAAGTTTATCTGAGGCCTCCTACATTACGAAACACAGAACCTTTTGCCTTTTAATTATTAAGCCACTCAAGTGTAGGAAGTCATTTTCATTTCACCCTTCAGTCCACAAAGCAGTGAAGGTCCTTGAACTTGCTTAATGAGTCCATGAGAATGATAGCTAATTAACATGAAGTAGTCTAGCTACTTAGTGGCGCAGATCAGCCAGAGGCTCAGACAGGGAGCAGACCTCTCCCAGGGTTCCTGCAGATTTGCCTGCTTATTCAAGTCCACAGGGGCATTTGGGGCTTCCAAGAAAAGCACAGCCAGATACTCTAGCTCCCACAAGTTCCCCTTGCCTATAAGGGCCTGGGAAAACTATTCTCTCAGCCCAGAACAAGGATCCTTCCTGGGTTGCTAGATTCTCCTAATTCTGGTCCTGGAGCCATTTAATTGGAAGTCCTGTGGTTACATCGGGAGTTCAGGGTAATTTGGACTGGAGTTTGCGCATTGCGTCTTCATTTGCTGGTTTTTCTGGCTAAGGAATATCTCTGACTGCTCAGACGACAGCTCTCAAATGGACTGCACCAGTCACTCTGGGTCCGAATCCAGCTGGGCCATTACTTGGCTGATTAACCTCCGACAGGCTACTCAACCTTGTGACGATACTCAACTTTACTTGAGCTCTGAGAGAATGACAAGTTAGGAAATTCCACCACCCCTTTGTATTCTTGAAACCAGTAAAATGCTTCTCTGTCCTCCCCTGTTTTTTCCTGAGACGTGTCTCTGTGCCTTAGAACTCCTGTCTGGGTTAGTCCCTTCTTCCTCTGATTCTGTAAAAGCTGGAGTCCCCTTCCCTTTCCTGAGATGGTCTCCAGAAGAAGCTTTTTCTGGAATGACCTGAATAAAATTTCTTGAGGGCATTCATTTTACCTTTCAGGCTTTTAAAATTTAACTTTCCCATCTATAAAAAAAGAGCAACCATTCCTTTTTGGTTTGTTAATTTGTTTTTCTTATTTTTCAAGATAGAGATTCTCTGTGTAATCCTGGCTATCCTGGAAATACACTCTGTAGACCAGGCTGGTCTCAAACTCACAGAGATCCATCTGCCTCTGCCTCTTGAGTGCTGGGATTAAAGGCATGTGCCACCACCGCCTGGCCCAAGGGCTGCTTCTTAAAGCCAGTAATGGAAAGTAAATAATGAACATGAAGTATAATAACTGTTTTTAATCCTGCCCATCACCCCCACCTCAGCTCTGGTCTTTGCCGTCCTCTACACTCGCCATGTCTGAGGGAAGTTAAAACTTCCTGTTGACACATTTTCCTTTATTGACAGAATTGTTCTAGACATTTTTTTGCAGGAGTTTAATCACATGTAGCCTATTTAGCCACCGTGAACACCAAACACACCCTAATTGCATTGTCTAATGCAGGTCAAACCCAGAGCTTCCTGGTTCCCTGTCCGTCTTGAAATAGGGAGACTGGAACTACTTCCCCAATCTCCCACACAGTTTTCTTTTAATGCAAGACCTGGCCCTGTGTCTCCTTTTGAATTTGACTCTGTGTGGCTTCTGTAGCTCTGGTTGCTGTTCACCCATTCTCAGCACAGGGGAGGGCCACCTTGCTTTGAGGGAGTGTTAGAGCTAAGGGCACCCTTGCTGGGTTTTTGTGGGAGACCATTCCTCAGGACTGGGATCTCCTGATGTACAGCCAGCTCCTCAAAGACTCTATTGTCAGCACTTCAGCTGTTGGAGCAAATACCTTCTGGTGTGATTTGTGTGCCTTTCCCATTAGACTAAGATTCTTAACCTGCAATCTATGGACCACCCACAGGGATAATAAAAAAGTATAACCAGAAAATACTAAGCGTCATTCTTCCCAAGCCCCAGAGCATCTTGAGAACTAAGCCTGTGGCTTAGCCCCACCGTGACCTCTGTGCTGACAGCACGTGTGGTCACTCAGTAATGCAGCGTCATTCATCAGGAAACCAGCACTGGAGGACGGCACTCGGGAAGCGTTGCTGAGACATTGTTTGTGGGAAAAAAGTAAGAACTGGGTTAAGAGACAAGCTGGGAAAAGTGGCTCGTGACTGTAATCCTGGCACTTGGGAGGTTGGGGTTTTAAAAGGGGGGGGGCTTGCATCAAGGCCAACCTGTACACAGAATGGAACTTTGTCTAACAAACAAACAAACAAAGAGAACAGTATGATAGGCAAGGAGAAAGATAGAGAAATATTAGATATTTAAAATGCCCCAGTATTTGCCCAGGCATGTCTATGGGGCTATTTGCCTGCCAAAAAGAAAAAGAAAAAAAGCTATAATTCTCAGAAAATGTACAGTCTCTGAATAATTATTGAAAGAAAAATTATTCCAAGATTCTTATACAGATGTCCCATCTAGACCAATAGACTTCAAATTTGTTAAATATTCATCTATTTCCCTTTTGCTTTTAATTTATCAGAATAGTGAGAGTTCCATAGAATTTTTGAAATAGAAATAGTTTTAAATTCATTCTGTACATTTGCGCTAATGAACTTTGGTCTCACTATTGTCCCCGGCATGGAATACCACGTGGCCATCAAATGCTTGGCCACATCACTGGCATTCTCTTCTGCATATCTGCTCAGTGACTCTGTCTCTCTTGATAGGAGGAGACACTGGAATTACTTTCCTGAGTTCTTCAGGATCCGTGTGCACACATGCGTGTGCATGCATGTGTGCATGTGTGTAAGCATGTGTGTGTGAGAGAGAGATGGACATGCTGGAATCCAGCAAACTGACTGCCGCGGACTGAAGGCAGCCAGGATCTGCACTTCCCCCACAGAAAAGAACTTCAGGACAAGTAGGAACAAAGCAAAGTCAGCAAGTTCATTGACAAAGCAGATGAGCACAGCTGAAGGAGTCAAGTGCAAGCATTAGAAGAATGCACACTAGTGCCTCAGCAGTTCTGTGTGTGCGATGCACACTAGTGCCTCAGCAGTTCTGTGTGTGCGATGCACACTAGTGCCTCAGCGGTTCTGCATGTGTGCTGCACACTAGTGCCTCAGCGGTTCTGCATGTGTGTTGCACACTAGTGCCTCAGTGGTTCTGCGTGTGTGTTGCACACTAGTGCCTCAGTGGTTCTGCGTGTGTGTTGCACACTAGTGCCTCAGCGGTTCTGCATGTGTGTTGCACACTAGTGCCTCAGTGGTTCTGCATGTGCGATTTGGGGTTTTGAGGGTACTTATTCTGCAACTGAGTTTAAATACCAGGGCACGCATGTGCTGGTTTACTTACTTTTCTTATCTAAAGAATTAAAGAGGAGAGGCATTAGGAACACTGTCAACGGGTGGAGAAGGAGGTGACAGAAGGGATAAAAATATCTATCCAAGGGACCCTTTCTTACACGCTGGTCACAAGGAGATTGGATTTAAGATATATGTGGTTCGTTAGGCATTTTGACATCTTATTTGTGAGCTATTTCTCACTTCTTTTGCAGGTGATCTGATCAGTAATACCTAAATTCCAGGATATCGGCCAAAGAGCAAGAGAGTCAGAGTTAGGTGTAAGAGTAAGGGCCCCGAGGGCTGCAGAGATGGCTCAGTGGTTAGGAGTCAGTTTCCTCTGGGCAGCAGAGTTAGGTGTAAGAGTAAAGGGCCCCGAGGGCTGCAGAGATGGCTCAGTGGTTAGGAGTTAGTTTCCTCTGGGCAGCAGCCCGCCTCTGCCACCAAAACACGTAAGCTATGTCATCACCTGTCACCAGGTCCACCCCACCACCCCCCACCCCCCGTCAGCTATGCGGCATGTACACCCCTTAAAATGCCCACCAGGCACAGCTCATTCTCTTGCCTCTCTTCTTCCTCTTGTTTCTTCCCGGTTCTGTCTGTCTGTCTGTCTGTCTGTCTGTCTGTCTGTCGTGTCTCTCTCATGTCCCCATTCCGACATGGCCTTTCACTCTTTCACCTCTTCCTCTCTCCTCACCCAATAAACCTCTTGCATAACTCTGTTTCAGGTAGTGTGTTTGCTTAGTGGCATGCCTTGGTAGGATCCATGTTGCCCTTCTTTTTATCCTTTCATTAAGTGCTAGCACTGACTGTTCTTCCAGAGGACCCAGGTTCAGTTCCCAGCACCCACATGGCAGCTCACAAGTGTCTGGAACTCCAGTTCCAGGGGATCTGTCACTCTCACACAGACATACATGCAGTCAAAACATCAATGCACATAAAATAAACTGTGTGTGTGTGTGTGTGTGTGTGTGTGTGTGTTAGGAGTTTTTCCTAACACGCGAGTTCTCTGCTGATGCAAAAATCCCAATCAAGTCAAATCACAACAAGCCAAATAAAAAAATATCCAGGTTTAATGGGATTCCTGGACTCTCAGGTGGCCCCAAGGGGGAACTGGGAGGCCGCTAACGCGACTACCAATCAGTTTAAATAGACTGAGGGAGAGGTCAAGGTTTTGGTGGGCTCGTCTTGACCCTCCTTCAGGGAGGGGTCAAGACTTGGTAGGCATAGGGACTGGGCCTCCAAAGATGGAGGCCAGAGACTGGGGCTTACAATATATATTTAGAGACAGAGAGAGTGTGTGTAAAGTTCTCTTTCCATCCTTATAGCCCCTCTATTTACTGACTAACTTTCCTCCCTCGGGGCAGTTCACAATAGCCAGAGCAAATAGTCCAGCGGCCACACTTTTGCTGCCCTTGTAAGGAATTTTATTTTTGGTATTCTGGTACTTAGATATCTGGCTCACTGACCCTAAAATGATTGCCCCTCTGGTGCTAGCCAATCCCCAAAGGCAGGAAAATTCTCAGGTGGTGTGCCTGTCTTATACAGACTAGCCAATCCAGAGGATCCCTGTTGCCAGTATTCAGAAACCCTAAGTCTTCTTAGGTCAGTTATCAAATAATCAGAGAGAGCCCTACGTCCTAGAGCAGCTAGAATTTCTCAAAGCAGTCAAGCTGAAGCCTTCTTGCCTGCACTGCCCCACTGACCACCGCTCACATTTAGTGAGTGAAGATGGGCGCAGCAAAGAAACTAAAGAGTATAGTCAGAGGCAGGGAACCTCTGGCAGAATCCAGAGTGGACAGGACCGACCGGACTGAGAGGGGCCATGCGGAGAGAGGGGAAGGGAAGGGAGAAAGGAAAGAACCAGGTGCAGCAGCCGGGAGGCCAAAGGGACTTTGAGGCCAGTAACAAAATGGCTGGATATACAGAAAAGACTCTCTGGGGGAAGGGCAGCCCAGCCCCTGGACTGGAGAATTTTAGGGTAGAGGGCAGGGTCTGCCAGTCATGATCTGTAACAGGTAGGGACTGAGGGATGCTGGGAGAACCTGAAGGCCAGATCTGCTTTGATATGTTAAATAGGCACCTCAGCCATTCCCCTCTGCACCTTTGTGACTCCCCACCTCCGGTTTTGAAACTTAAAAGGGAAACAGCTCCTTTGGTAGAATGGCTTCAAACATTCCTGAAGAATGCTGGCTTTTTTCTGACAGCCAGAATTTGGGGAAATGGAGTTTCCATTGGACCTGACTTCAAGAGGTCTGCTTCAGTCACAAAGAAGGCTAAATGAAAAAAAGAAAGAAAGAAAGAAAGGAAAAGAAAAGAAAGAAAAAAGGAAAGAAAGAGGGGAGAGAGGTCTAGCAGCCAGGAGGCCCCAAATACAAAAACAGCAGGTAACCAGAATGTCTAGATTATATAGGGAAGAGCAGCCCAGCCCCAGGGCTGGTGCTTTCAGGGGTGGGGTATGCCAGCCTGGAGGGCCCTATAACAACAGGTAGGGGCTGGGGGGCGCAGGGAGAACCTGGTGGCCACTTCAGCTTTGCTATGTCAAATAGGCACCTCTGCCATTTGTGCCAGGTTTGAAAGCTAACAAAGGCCTTCTTGGAAAGGGTACAGAGGACTTTGGTTTGACTCTGACTGAAAGGATCCTCCTTCCAAGGGGAGTTCATTAATTCCAGGATCACAGCAGAGAGGAGGAAGGGAGGGTGAGGTGGGGATGGGGAGCTTGGCTGAAGGTGAAACACTGGTGGCTGACCCCAAGAACCCCAGGTTCACAGAGGGACAATGGGGTGCCCGTTAGTTCATAAATAGCTCAAGACTAATTGATTTCTTGCTTTAGTGTTTTCTTTTCTCCAAAATCAAGAGCCCTAATGCATCTCAACATCTCCAAGTAGCCTACTGCCTTTATTGGGAAGAACAAATCATTTACCACCTGCAGGTTTGTATTAACATAAGCTGTGCAGATAGCTTTTTGTTCTAGGGAGAAGAAAGAAAAAAAAAGGCTCTTTGTAGCTTGAGGCAATGAGACATTCTGCTTAAGAAAGACAGAATTAATTGGTCATAGCAAATAAACTTACATTTTGCTGCAACTGTACCCTTGAAGAGAAATAGTCTTCAATGAGTTTTTAACTGGCTCATTTACACTATTTTTATTGTTTCCAAAGGCTCGATGAACTTTTTGGAGGCCAGAGGCTGCTGGGTAATAAAGTCTACCCCAGGTAAGATGTTAAACATCCATATAAATATACATCATGTTATCTTTGTTCTGTGTTTATTATCCCCATTGGCTGCGGATGGTTTTGTAAGGGGCACTGAGCTATTGCACTCCAAGTTTTTCCCATCACGAGTTCATTTCACTAATTATCTCTTAACAGACAGTTTTTGCAATTGACCTTCATCAGCTAACGGGAAGACTGCGAAGAAAACTCCGGTTTCAACACACTCCAGGATTCTTCTAGTCTACTTGATGGCTGGAGACAGTAGCAAGGGAGCCTGGGATTCATAAAAATGAGGTAAGCAGTGGGTGGGCTTGGAACTGAGAAGCTTTGAGTTCAAGCCCCTCTCTGCATAAGGCAGGTTAATCAGTTAATGTCTCATTCAACAAAGGTGCAGCTGAAAGTTTACCTAGGACAGTGGATGAACTCCTGAACAGAGCTATGTCTCAGAGACTGTCTGATCAGAATTTCAGTACCATGGAGCGATTGTAACATTACAGGGCCAGAGACTTTATGCTGGGCTAGCCCTAACCCCCAGGAACAGCCATTCCTTGCACCCACTACAAGGTCGCTAATATTAATAGATAAAAACCTTTGCATATCCACCAATCCCAAAACTGAGAATGCCATCAGAAAATATCTTGGGCCTATAGAAAAGCCTCCCCCATCTTGCTATACCTGCCTCTCTGATGTACCCACAAATGGATTTTAAACTTGCATTGACTTATGACTTTTTTGTCATGCAAAACTATTAAAAACGTTGTGAACCTGCTTCCACAATGGAACATGGGATTTAGAATAACCTAAATCCTGTTCTTGAGCCATGATCATTCCAAAAAGTTCTAGAATAAATTATCTCTTATTCCCTTTAAGATGACAGCTATGGCTTTTGCATTGTCAGACAGTACTAACTGGATGATATGCCTGAAGAACTGGACAGTCATGGTCCAAGTCTTAGCAGCATTGTAAGTTCAGAAAGTCACAATGTCAACATTTGGGGTTTGTCTTAGTTAGGGTTTCTATTACTGTGAAGAGACACCGTGACCACGGCAACTCTTATAAAGAAAACATTTAATTGAGGTGTCTCGCTTACGGTTCAGAGATTCAGTCCATTATTATCATGATGGCACATGACAGTGTGCAGGCAGATGTGGTGCTGGAGAGACAGCTGCTACATGCTGATATGCAGATGACAGGAAGTATACTGAACGTTACACTGATCAAAGCTTGAGCAAATGAGACCTCACAGCCCTATCCCCACAGTGACACACTCCCTCTAACAAGGCCACACCTAATAGTGCCGCTCTCTTTGGGATTCTGGGGGCCAATTGCATTCAAACTATCACAGGGCACAGATCCCTACTGTTAGCCTCAGCAGGCTAGGGGAGTTCCCCTAGAGTTTTAGAAATCTCAACTCAAGTCAAACTAACACTAAAAAGAATTCAGGACTAGCCAGTATGGTAAAGCAGAATTGGACATCTTATGGAAGATCTTTTTAAAATGGCCTTATGCATGAGGATTAAGAGAAAGGGACCCACAGGACAGTGAGGCGTACCCAAGGGAAGCTACACTCATCATTTTAACAGTAGTCGTGTTTAAAAGTTTGTTAGAATTTTGTTACCACTGGGTAGTTCCATGGTGAAACCTGACAGGATTACAGTGGATTAACTCGAAGTTGACCCCACTAGGCTACAGGAAGGTAAGACATCTTTAGTATGGGCAAAGTTATGTTTGTTTGAGATTCTCAGACAATGACTGACTGAAAGGAACGAAGCTCTGCCCATGGTCTTGCACATTCAGCACTTGAGCCTAGGCCATTGCAACCTCTACGCACAAAGGACAGTAACTCTGCCAACAACCTTTGTAGCCATTGTTATTTTTGTGCTGGGATTCCTGCTTCTCAGCCAGCTCCCATACTCTTATGTGTCTTCGGTCTGCTGGTCTTCCTATCCTGCTTCGAAGTGATTGTGTGAAGAGAAGAAAATTGCAGTGAACGCAGTCGGCATGCAGCAGGATGTATGGAGGTCTCAAGCCACCCTTTAGCAATGGACACTCTTGGTCATGGGCATCTCGAACAATCAGCTTTGCGTGTCGTGGAGACTCCAGCTGCATGGAAGGAGGCAGGGTATGGATTGATGTTATGGGGAAGAGAGCTCTCAGGGCAAAGTGTTTGCCATACAAGCACAAGGACCTGAGTTTAGTGCCCAGTGCCCACTTTAAAGCCAGGTTGGCAGTGCATGTGGGTAACCCCAGGGATTGACTACAGAAAGGGGCTTGCCCGCCAGCCAGTCTAGCTGAAAGAGCAAGCTCTTGGTTCACTGAAACCCAGTCACAAAAATTAAGATGGAGATTGGGCACCATCAGCCTCTGGCCTCCCCTTGTATAAGTCCACGCAAGCACACTGCACAGGGCACACAAGCCGTATACCTACACACAGACACAAAGTTTTAAAGAGAAGTTATTGGACTCCATTATGATATTTTTACTATGTTTTATGAACTATTTTGTTGGTTTAATGATGATAGATGGTAACACAAATTATAATTGTTCTTAATAATAAAAATCTGGAGTTAGCTATAGGGGCTAATGCTGAAGAAGATCAGGGAAGCAGAGCCGCCAGCCACTAGAGAGTTCTTCCCTCCACCAATGCTCAAGCTGAAGAGGTGATCCTGTCTCTACAAATCCTCAATCTGCATCTCCAGACTGCATCTTCAGACTCCATCTGAGCTCTTCTCTCTTTCCACCTTATATTCCTCTCTCCACCCAGCCAAATCCATTCCTGTCTCCACCTCCCTAGTGCTGGGTTTAAAGGCACATGACTCCCAAGTACGAGGATTTAAAGTGTGAGCCCACTGCCTGGTTTTAATTCTCTTTTAGACTGTATTGATCTTGTGTAGCCCAGGGTGGCCTTGAACTCACAGAGATCCTTTTGCTTTTCCTTCCGAAGTGCTGGAATTAAAGGCCACCACCACCCAGCCTAATGTACATTTCTGAGCTTACTCCTTGGCTTTACCAGAAAGACATGAAGACTTACATTACTCACGAGACAGACAGAAATGCACTTTATACACTGTAAAATTGATAAAAAATACTTTCATATTTGATAAAGTAAAGCTGAGTTTACTGCTTACCACAGGGAAATGGAAACTTACAACCAACTAGCTATCAAAATAGAACTTTAACCCATCAGCCTCCTGTACAATAAATAGCCTGTGAAATCAGCCTGTCCAAGGGCCCTGCCGGGTTACTATCGTTAATTCTAGAAGAGAGCTCTATCAAGTTGTTCAGCCATTGATAGTGACCAACACTTTCCTGATCCTCCCAGCTTACAGCACTGATGAAGGAAGTCAAATGTGTGTCCCTGTCAACCACAGAGGATGTCTTACTTCATCGCAGCCCACCACAACTTCGGCATGCTAACACTCTCCAGTCAGGACAGGCCTTTTTTCTTTTTCCTGTCATACTCCTGGAGTCTCTGCCAAAGCACAGTGATGACGGCTCACTCTCGCGGGCCAGTAGATCGGAAGAAACAGCTTGTGCGTTCCTCCTCTGTTTGCTCCTTCTCACATCTTACATTTATGTGAAGAACCTTGGTTCACATTTATTGAATGGGGCTTTCACCGTAGTCATGGAACTGCCAAGGTCTGAGCTAAAGCGGAATACTTAGTGTCTCTCTGTAGAACTGAGCAAGAGGCAAGCTAACTTCAGGGTTCCCTACTGCCTGGAAACCACAGCAAAACAAGGAAAAGAAAAAGCTTCCAGAGACAGGAAAACAGATTCACTTTACATAACTGTAGTCTTTTCGAGTTTGAATTTAAAGCCTGCTGTGAGCAATGGTTCATTTTGTGATAGATGCTGACATCTACTGGCCAATACTGAGAGTTAATATTTTAACACGTTTTAGGAAAAAAAGAAAAGGTGTCATCCTGATAGTGGAAGGTAGAGAGTCAGAAGACTCGGAGGTGGGTGCAGATTGCATTTGCAAGAGGGTGAGAGACTTAACTAAGGACCATGGGGGTGGGTTGCAGAATGTCACTGGAGTTGACCCCAAACACCCACTTTGTAGTCTTAAGATTCTTGTCCTAGGATTTCTTATCTTGTTTTCTAAGACCTTTTTCTTCAGGGGCAGTGTCCATTTTAAAAGCACTGGTGCTGGGGAGAACTACCGCCCCCCCAGCCACCTCTAAGGGATGTGACCTGTGATCATGTCGTTAGTATTGCCAGAAGCTTCAGGGTGCTTAGTGCTTTATAAGCAGACAGACTGGAGTCAGGCTACCGGCACACAGACCCAGCCTCCGCCATTTATACGTTGTGTGACTTCAAGTAAGTGGCTTCATTTCCTTCCTTGTCTTTCAAATGGACATGGCAATCATGTCTTACACACACATTCTTGAAAGAGTTTAAATAAATCACATGTGGAAAGTGCTCGTATCAGGAGCTGGGCATTCTAAAAGCTAAACAAGTATTAGTGTCTTTACCTACATATATCTTTACAACGCTTTGAAAGAAATACTGTATCTCTAAAATTAGGGAAGAGTCTTTCAGCCCCCAGGGACAGAACACGTGACTCACAGTGACTTGTGCTCTTGTTTCCTCTCTCACATGATGAGCAGAGCAAGTGGTCTGGAGGTGAGTGCCTGCTGACACTGGCTCATGCCTCAGAGACATTTGGGCCAGCGTCTCAGAGCTTTCTAGGCCTTTCCTTCAAGGTGGTGAGATAACATTTTACCTCCAGTTCCAAGCATCATGTTCAGGGGAAGAAACTAGGGTCCTGTGTATATAGTTGCTTTTTTCCCTTTTTAATCAGAAAACAACAACAACAACAAAAAATTCCACTAAAGTCTGCTTCTGTCTGATTGCCAAAAATTGTCCCTTGGCTAATCCTGGCTGAGAGGGCTCATGAGAAGTGGGTCTTTAACTTTCCTAGCTTACAAAAGAGGCAGCAGGGAAGAAGGGAGCTGGTGGTGACCATTGTCAGCTATCAGTCTATGTACCGCACCTTAGAAAGGGATAAAACATTTGAAGGGATGGTACAGATGCTGCCATTCAAACTAGGCAGCCTGGATTCTGGTATCCTAAATTCTACACCACTCTGAAGCATGAACTTACAAAGGTAATAAAAGTAGATTTATTAAAGAATAAATTCACACAATACAGACAAAGGCTGAAGCTGCCACTGGCTCTCTGCCCTTGGGGTCTCCCCTCAAACCCAGCAAGAGCAACCGAGACCTCTCCTCTTCCTTATTAGCGATCACATCCCAGCCAGAAGGGAACCCAAGGCAGGTAATCCAAAACATTTGGCAGAATGAACTCCCCCAACACCTTGCTAATGCTGTGTTTGGTACGGGATCTTGGAAGCCTACTCCACTGAAACTCTGGTACCTCAGCCTGCAGCTTCAGGCTTTGCAGTGGTTCAACCATGATGTTGGAGGTTAGGACAGAGGAGTCACTCTGCCCTCTCCTGATGTGGACAAGCAGAGGTTAGACTCCTCTACTGAAGGCCAGATAGGCCTAGACTCACTCGCCTGGCCCCCCATGTCTTTCATTATTTAACACAAAGCAGGCTGACGGCAGTGACATGGAAGTGTCATGCTGCAGAGACAAAGCAGGAGAGAACAGGAAGAGAGGGGGCCTGGGCCAGCAGGAAAAGGGAGAAGTGAAACAGACAGCTGAGAGAAACCGTGGAGATCTCACCGGACAGATGAAAAAGTGAGATACGTGAAAGCTAGGCTGGGACAATAACAGCAGATCAAGGGAGAAGACAGAGACTGGCTAGAAAGATCTAACTAGCAAAGTCAGACTTCACAAACTAACTGTGTGAGGCTTAACTGTCAACAGATGGCTTTCTATCAAAATCCATATGCCTTCTGAATCCCAACATTTTCAATTCTCAAGCGACATGGTGGGTGATGCCTGCATTGGTGGAATATGCCATGGTGAGAGCCTGCGGTGCCAGAACGGGAACAAGGCTATACATTGAAATTTCAGTAGAAGGAGAACCCTTTAAGAATACCCATAAAGGGGCTGGAGAGATGGCTCAGAGGTTAGGAGCATTGATTGCTCTTCAAGAGGTCTTTAGTTCAATTCCCAGCAACCACATGGTCGCTTACAACCATCTGTAATGAGATCTGATGCCCTGTGGGCAAACATTCAGACAGAACACCGTATACATAAAAAAATAAAATAAATCTTAAAAAAAGGATACCCATAAAGCATACCGTGGATGCTGTGTGTCAGAAGGCATTAGCCTTGGTCAGGAGTCTGGTGGCAAACAGATTGTATGTTAACATAGCATGCCAAGTGTAAGAGAAGGAACATGGAGTCCATAGTACAGACTCATTACCTAAAGGAGCCTAAAGGTTGTGCTAGTGCATACCAGTAAGAGAGGGGGTGGCTAAGTTGGTAGGGCTTTTGCTGAGCATAGGTGAAGTCCTGGGCTAGATCCCCAGCTCCACAGAAACCAGGTGTGATGTTTCATAACTGCAATCTCAGCATTTGGGAAGCAGAGGTAGGGGGATCAGAAATTCAAGATCATCTTCTACGTTGCCAGTTCTAGTTTCAGAGCAACCTGGGTCACGTGAGACACACGCACCTTTCTTTCTAAATGTTGACACTTGAACAGGACAAGCCTTAGATAAAGCAAACGTCACTGAATTCTGAAATAGCAATCACAGGGGAGGAAGACAATTCTTATTCATAAGGCCATTTGTTTTTCCTGTGGTAAGATACACAAAACATAAAATTCAGCACTTTAGCCTTAATAAGTGAATAGTTCCTTGGCATTGTGCCCTTTCACCCCGCTGTGTCACCATCTTGGCCATTCTTTTCTGGAACTCTTTCATCTTCCTTAACTGAACTTTTGACCCATTAAACACTCAGTCCTTCTGTCTCCTCACCAGCCTTGGCCACCACCGCCTTACTTTCTGTACAATATTTGCAGAGTCATCATGATTTTTGCTTTTCAGAAGAATAAGCTTGGATAAGCTGAAAATGCTCCAGGCTGTCCTGTGTCTACAGCTGGCTCCATTCAATCGTGGATGGACCCATTACTGCTGGGCAGACTCATTACTGCTGGGCAGTGAGCTGCACGCCTGTAGCTATGCTGTGGAGAGCCTGAATGACCCCCTGTAAGGATGCCAAGAAGGAGGGACACTACGCCAGGGGACATTCTCACCTCTGCTCCCACAGGCTGTCTTCTGGCTATTGAGTCTTTGATCCGTGTAAAGGAAACTTGGACCAAGGAATACAAACTGTTTTCATTGAAAACAAGCTGGTCAAGCTGTTCAGTCTGCCCAGACATGAATCACTGGCAGTTAAAGCCAGGCTAAAGGTAATAATATTGCTGAAATAGAGCCTTTTAAGGCAAGTGTTTAACAAAAGCAGTAATGATTGGTATTGGGTAGCGGTGATGGTGGGTGGTCCCTATAGCAAGAATTACAGATGGGAAACCTGAAAGCCACATGTGTCTTATTAGCCCCGTGTGCAGTATCTTTAAAAATGATTAGCTAGTGGATTTTAAAATGAAATTTCTGATTTCGGTTGAAAAAATTTGCCACATGGCCTGGAATGTAAAAGAAATAAGGCTCCCCACTTCTTTATTTCCCTATATCCTGGCCCAAGGGGCACAGGGTTGCAACTCCTGTCCCTTAGAGTTTTGAGCCATCTTTTAGAATATATTAGAAGATATTAAAGAAACAATTAATTATAGCTTGAAAATAATTTTTAAAGAAATAAAGAGGGGCTGGAGAGATGGCTCAGTGGTAAAGAGCATTGCCTGCTCTTCCAAAGGTCCTGAGTTCAATTCCCAGCAACCACATGGTGGCTCACAACCATCTGTAATGAGGTCTGGTGCCCTCTTTTGGCCTGCAGACGATTGTATACATAATAAATAAATAAATATTTAAAAAAAAAGAAAGAAAATTTTGGAAGATGAACAGATTCTCTGGGTGTTATAAAAAAGATTGTAAAGCTTCAAGTAAAGTTTAAAAAGTTGATAAAATAATATAAATTCTATCAGAGAAAAAAGGTCAGTTAATATGTATTTGGGGCACTTGTAACATGCCAGCATTTTCAGTCTGCACTCTGAATTTTCCCACAAGCACTAGGAACCACTATGTTAGGGACTAACTAAATGTTAGAGTAGTTCATGCTTTAGTTAGGGGTCAGATTTAGATCTTTACATATGCTTATCATTATAGCTGACTAAATATTACTATGTTCTTAGATATAGCTATTCGTGATAGCTTATTTTCTGTTTGGGTTCCATTTCGTAAGCCACATGTTGGGGTGCCATCTGTCAAGGTCCAGCCATGACGAGTTCATATGTTCCAGGGTAGGGGCGTGTGGATTAGAAAGGTTAGGCGGGAGCAAGCCAGTAAACAGTATCCCTCCATGGCCTCCGCATCAGCTCCTGACTCTAGGTTCCTACCATGCTTGAGCTCCTGCCCCAGCTTCCTTCAATGATGGACCACAATGTGGAAGTGTAAGCCAGATAAACCCTCTCCTCCCCAGCTTGCATTGGTCATGGTGTTTCATCACAGCAATAGTCACCCTAACTAAGGCAAACGGCAATGATAAACCTTATTCTGGAAAAAAAAGTTAGGCAGAATAGACAGAGAAACAAAAGAAATACAGAGACATAGGACATAGGATAGTACTGGAGGCAGCTCAGTGAATACTGAACACTGAATTCGCCCACATTTATTTTCCATACACTTATATACCCCAATACAAAAAGCGGGGAGGGGAAGAGAAGGCAAAAGACCGCTTTAACATGACACAAAGGACAACCAGAACAGTTAATACCCCCTAGACCAAGTATCCTGTAGGCAGCCAGTCCGCATGTCAAACCTCCTATTTTAAAAGAAGGAGCATAGGAGTAGGCTTGAATTCTCTGACCTTTGGTCAGGGTGGAGCAGATCCACCTCTATAGGCCATCTTAATGTCCAAAACACCAAGTAACCACACTATGGGTCAGGGTTTCTAGTTTGTAGCCACACCTGTTGTCAAACTCTCTGACCTTTAGTCAACGTGGAACAGGACTCACATCTGTGGGCCCCCACAGCTCCACTAGAATGTAAGTCTACAAAAAAGAGTAGACTTCCCCATTTTATTTCCAGAACTTCCTGGCACAAGAGCAGATACCCAGTGACTATGGGCTGAACAGACGAAGTCCTGGGTGGATGGATGTGGATGCAGTCTAGTATTTAACCAGCAATCTGGGGGCATGCTAGTTGCATAAGACACTTTTCATATTCAGAGAGCTCACTATAATTATAAAACAAGATATAAACTGGGAATAGTGCTATATGCCTCTAACCCCAGCATTCAAAAGGCAGAGGTAGGTGAGTTTCTGTGAGTTGGGGATCAGTTGGCCTGTCTAGGGAGTCCCAGGACAGCCAGAGTTACATAGTGAGATCCTGTCTCAAAAAATAAATAATTAAAAACAGGATATAAAGAAGACAATACTGTAAGAGTTAGTGTACGTGTTTAAATTGACAAATGACTAAAGAAAGCAAAGATACTATGAGTCTAAACAAAGAGATATTTTGCCTTAGAGAACAGTGCTCAAAAAACGTCACAAGGAAGGTGGACTTGCCGCAGACGTAGGAAGAAGGGTAGGGTTTGTGGGGCAGGAGGGAGAGGCACATTGAGAGCAGTACAGAATCTATGATAGGAAATATCAGTGAAACAGTTGGTGGCACCCTACAAAACCTTCCAGGGAGCCTGTAATTTCATAGCTGGAGCAGAAGTCTAATTTGATGGGTGTATGTATTTGCCTTATTAGAGGCTTTTGAGCAAGGGCCCTGTACTTTGGAAGTTCAGCGTTATACCCAGGTGAAAGGGAAGTCCCTGGGAAGGAGATTTTGGGGTTGCAGAGGCAAGGAGAAGTCTGGGAGTTTCCACAGCTTAATAGTTAGGAGTATCACCTACAGGAATGGGGAAGTCAGGACAAGCCTGATTGCAAGAACAGAAATTCAGTTAGAATTCCTGTGAGCACAAGAGCTTTATAGCCCATAAAGCCAAACTGTAGAGAGAGCTGATGGCAGGGACACTTGGCAGGAAACCGTGAGGCTACCCCACTCCCCATCTCCTGTCACTGTTTCTCTCCGCAGCCACTTCCTTTGGGAAGGAAGCTAGAGCCACGTCTGCCCACCTCTCTCAGACCCTCAGCCTCTAACCCCAGCGGTGACCAAAATTGCTTGCTTAGTGCCAAATAGCCGTCCCCTTTTTTTTTTTTTTTTTTGGTGCATTAACACTGAGTAAATAGCACCCTTCTAACGTCACACAATCACCTCATCTCAGGGCTCCATAAAAGTCATCGGATCTCACAGCCTGATCCAATGAGCTAGTCACTTCTGGCAACAGTCCCAACAAACGCTCTTTCAATGAGCACTTAAAACACTTACGTCCCATTCAGGCACTCCATGTCACTGTAAAAATGTTCCAAGCTGTTACAGGGCTGTTCTTTACAGTCAGATAAAATCTACCACCAGTTGACAGTGGCCCTCCCCTTTGTATGTCTCCGCACCTCAGATGCTTGAAGAGTTCATCCGCCAGTGAGTCTTCTCAGGCTAAACGTCAATTTACTCCCACTACTTCTCATGTGGTATGGAGTTTCAATCCCCTTGGACTTTTTCAATGGGCCCTTTCAACCTCTAAGAAGTATTTATTGTGAACTCTTTTCATTCTGAGCAGTTAACGAGGTATGAGGGAGGAGAAGGCAAGGGAAGCAGGTTCGTGGCTGAACCTGGGCCTGGACTCCTGAAGAGCATATGGATACTAGGTGGCTCATCCCACAGAAGGGAGGCGTACGTGCTTCAGCGTCACAGTTAAATGGGAAAGGCTTCATGCGTGGTCTTACTGCTACGGTTTGGATCGGGACTGTCTTCCTAAGGCTTGGTCCCAGGTGATGGTGCTTTGGAGAAAAGGCATGAACTCTAGGAGGCGGGGCCTGGCTGGGAAAGTGGATCATTGGGGCGTGGCTTGAATATATTAGGAACCTGGTCCATTTGAACACTCAAATTCTCTCTCTCCTTCTCTCTCTACCTTCTCCTCCTCCCCACCCCCCTCACCCTTCTCAGATGCAGGAGATGAGCTTCTATACTCTACTATTTCATTTGTCGTAACGTTCTGCTTCTTCAACACCGTTCCCAAAACAAAGGCGCCCAGCAAGCGAGGACAAAAGTCTCTGAAGCCAGGAGCCAAAATAAAGCTTTCTTCTTTTTTTTTTTAAAAAAAAATTTATTTATTTTTATTATGTATACAATATTCTGTCTGCCCGAAGGCCAGAAGAGGGCACTAGACCTCATCACAGATGGTTGTGAGCCACCATGTGGTTGCTGGGAATTGAACTCAGGACCTTTGGAAGAGCAGGCAATGCTCTTAACCGCTGAGACATCTCTCCAGCCCTAAAGCTTTCTTCTTTTAAGTTGATTTTTTGGAGGTATTTGGTCACAGAAATTGAAATCTGACTCCCTCACATGTGAACAGTGGGTGGTTCAACACACCCACAGACTGGCAAAGGTGAAGTCCTGCTTCTGAGAATTGAATCTGTGACGGACCTTGAATAGCGAAGAAGGAAAATGCCTAATGCCGGAGCAGAACCTCACAGACACTGTCGTCAAACCTTCTTTTGGTCTGGCTCCATTCGCTGCCTAGATCATCCTGGCTCTCTTTTCTCCAGGTTCTGCAGGAAAAGATTTCTTTTTCCTTTTTAGGGGAGGGTGGTTTTTTTTAATTAGCATATACTAACTATACATAATAATACCTTCATCGTGACATTTTCATTCATGTATATGACATATTTTGATCAAACTTACCAACCCCGTTACCCTCTCTCCCTCTTCTCAAGTAGCGTTCCTTCTGTTTTCATGTCTTTCCCACGTTTGTGACTTCTGCGCTATTAGAGCTGTTTTGGGGAGCTCGGGTGAGGGTTTCTCACAGGAGCCCCGGCGCCCAATCAGTGACTGACTATACCACTGAAGAAAATGTCTCTCCCTCACCAGCCCTTAACTTGGAGAGACTTAAAGAGGATTCCATACATTTTCATCTAGAAGGCATCAGCATTTCATGTTCTAAATTAAGATCTTTGATTAATTTCAAATTGATTCTGTGAAATATAGTTATCTAATTTTATTTTTCTCCAAGTAGACATCCAGTTTTCTTAGCACTTTTTGTTGAAGAGGTTATCTTTTTCCCAGGATATGTTTTTGTCTCCTTTTGTCAAAATTCAGATGGAGTCGGGGTTGGAATGATGGCTCAGTTACTAAGAGAAATTGCTCCTCTTGCAGAGGACCTGGTTTGTGTTTTCAGCACCCACATAGTATCTCACAACCTGCCATTACTCCCGTTTTAGGGTATCCAATGCCCTCTTCTGACCCCTGAAGTCACCAGGCACAAACATGGTGCATGTACATATATATGCAGGCAAAACATTCAATCACATAAAACAGAAATAAAAGAATTTTTTTAAAAATAGACCTCTGCAGTTAGCTAACTTCTCGGTCCTCTAGTCAACCTCACTGTGTGCCAGTTTGTCTTTATGCCAGTACCAGGCTGTATTCATTACTATGGTTCTGTTGTGTAGTTTGAGGTTACATGTTTTAATACTCCTAGCTGTGTATTGTTTAGCTACCTATGATCTTTTTTCCGTATGAATTCTTGCATTGTTTTTTCCTAAATCTGTAAAATATAACACTAGAGTTTTGATAAGTATCACATTAAATCTGTAGGTTAATTCTGGT